AATAAACAATAACAAATTAATTGAAATAATTAAAGGCGGCCACGGTGCTGTTTATTCGGCTGAATATTGTGGAACGAAGATTGTATTTAAAGTACTCGAGGATAACAATATTAGAACAACTACAAATGAAGTGACGTGAACTCATAAATATTATCTGTTATATTCGTTATTGCTATCCACAACTAACAAATCATATGTCATATACTGTAGATAAAACAACATATGGAAGTTAATAATCATGAAAATATTGTCAAATTTTTAGGAGTTTCTGATAACGGTAAGAATTGGTCTTCTGCTTAAAATTCATAACTGGATCATAAACAATGTTGTAACATACTATAATTTAGATTCTGGAAATTACATGATAGTAATGCAGTATGCAAATGGTGGAACCTTACGAAAGTATTTAGAAGATAAAATTTCCGAAAATAATTTTAAAATTTTGTGGACAGAACTTATTCAAATTGCAGAACAAATTATTTTCGGGCTGCAACATTTGCACGATAATAACGTTGTTCATGGAGACTTGGTATGTGTTATTTTTATTTGTTCAGTTTGAATCAATTGCTAATTCAAGATTAAATTGTTAGAACCCCAGTAATATTTTGGTAGTACTAAATGAAGATCAATTCAATAGAGTCGTAATAGCAGATTTTGGATCAGCAACGAAACTTGACGACAGTTTAATATCTATATATGGGAAAAGTTTTACTATTGAATACACTGATCCGCAATTTTTTATCAATGAAAAAATGATTGTTCCAACCTTTAAATCAGACATATATAGTTTAGGAATAATATTATGGGAACTTACTAGTGGAATTCGACCTTTTCCTACAGTTGAAAATAAGGTTTCTTTAATTCGAACTATTTCAAGAGGAAAACGAGAGAAAAAGATTCGTGGCATACCTTCAAGTTATGTAAAAATTTACAAGAAATGCTGGAAAACTAATCCGAAAAAACGTCCAGGACTAGAAAAAATTTTACATGAAATTCAACAATTACGAGAAGCAGCAACAGTCATTAATAATAAACTGCAGTAATCTGTTGTTAAAGATAGTTCATATTTCATAAATAGATAAATCACAATGATATAAATCTCTAATTTTTACTTAAATAAATCCAAAGCAGATTTAAATCATTTATTTTTCCACTTTGCGAAAAGTTATGAACTTTTGTAGAACACTATGTTACGTGAGCATCAGAGATTCTGTGGATTTAAAAATCACATTCAAAGTCAGCATACAATTGAATTACGTAATAAAGATCAGATGCATATAGTCATTGAATGTAGTAGGAGGTTAGGGTGTTCCACGGCATATGTAATCAAACCTATTGAAGGTGTATTAGTAATTTTACTATGATCAGATTTTTTATCATCGAAATTAAAAAAATCAGTAAAAATCATTTCATATGTTTTAAATATAAAGAAAAGTAAAAAATTCTGGATGATTCTTACGATCACCTTTCTTTTTATTCCTGGTTCTTTTGACTGAAGATTGTTCTTGCAATAGTTTCAATGTAATTATGTTCTTTTTTTTTGAAAATTTGAAAAATCAGTAGGTTTTTAAAATTTAAACACTTAAATAGTTTATATCACCTAGTGAATATTTCATAACTTTATTTGTAAGTCATTTTCAAACTTACTCTAAAAAATTGAAGGTAATTTTATACTAAAAAAAGTATTATGAAACATTTTGAAATATATATTAATCATGAAATATATAATAGATGATGCCAAGAGTATCCAAACATAAACTTCAAGCACATAAAGTTAATCAAGTGTAGTAAATGTACAAAAAATTGCTAAATATGAAGAACAAATTCAAACTATCAATAAAGTACTCTTATAAATGAACAATAATGATTTGCAACTAATTTATCGAAATACTATTGTCATAATCTAAAATAGAATCGTTGATATTCTATTTAAGTTATATCACATAATAATGTAATAATATATAATATATAGAGCATAATTAGTAGATATGACATATAAAGCATAATTAGTAGATATAGCATAATCAGCATAATTAGTAAATATAGCATATAGAGTGTAATTAGTAAATATAGTGTATAGAGAAAAAGTATATAAGGAATGCATTTATAATATAAGGAAAACAGGTCTCACAATATAATTAATAAAGAAATACTTATTCTTAGTACTTGTTCAAATCCAACACCTCTTTTAAGTACTAATGCATCTGATATTATGTGAGAGCCTTTTATTTACCTTATAAATAGGAAATTTTAGAATCAATATTCTTCATAATATGACACTATTCAAATAACAAGTAAAAAAAAAGTAATACATTATCAAAATTAAATTAAATTATTAAATAATTATCAGATAATCAATTAAAGTTTGTGATTCACATATTAAATACAATACAATATTCTAAAGAGTCACAAAAGGGTAATTTATTTTACTCTTTTATACAAAATAAAGTATTAAGCTATATAAATCCTTTATTTTATAAAACAGATCAAGATTTGAAATTATTAATTCAAGATAATAAAACACTTTAAAAAAAAAAAACTAATTAGAATATTTCAATGTTCAAAAAAGTTATAAATTAAACAATTGGTAGAGTTATTAGCTCATTATAAGTATAAATGATATTAGAATATTTTAAAAGTATATATAGCTGCTTATAAGCCTTAAATTCTAAATTCACAAAATTTAAAAACAAGTATATGAGTGATGCTTATGAAAAACAAATATAAGTATACAACTTAGTTTGTTAATATGGCTACACAAGTCTCACAAATCAGTTAAATTTTATTTCAAAATACTGTTCAAGCTACTCAAATGATCTTGGACTTTTTAACTGAAGATAATTCATTAATATTAATTTTATTTTTATTAATTAATCATTAGAATAAGAAGATTAATAAGAACTATATAAATTAAATTTTAATCAAGATATAATTTTCAGAATTTTTTTCTTTCAAAATAATAATAGATAAATTGATGAGAGATCAATAAAAAATATTTATATTATATATAATATTTTGGAATTTAACAAGTAATAAACCAGATTTTCAAGTTTTAGAAATGAAGAATTTAATAAATTATATTAGAAAATTAATAGCTCAAGCTATATATGATACTCTGAATTATTATCAAATAAATTTTCAACAATGTTATATTTGTATATCAGATAATACTAACTATATAAATAGTAAAACTAAAGGTGCTATTATATTATTTAATAAGTTAAATAATACTAATGTATTTCAAATTCTATATAAGTTTTATTTACTTATATTATTATAAATAATTTTAAAAAAGTTGCTTTTGAAAAATTACAAAATATTAGTAGATTTTCATATAAGAAACTTTTAGTAAATTATTATATAAAACCAACCAGACTACTAAGATCTGTTCCAGAAGAAAAGGTTATATGCCAGTGAATATATAAACCAGAGGTGTATGGTTACAACCTGCCTTTCTAGACTATCTAGTTTGCGAGCTTAGTAGAACTTAAATTGACTACCAAAGTAGTAGAAATATGTTGTGAAGTTAGTACTAAGGTTGGGGTGAACTCTACAAAGTCATAGTGGTTTAATAGTACATCCAGACTGCCAGTATTAGTTTTGGCTATAGCAATATTAGGTTAGCTATAAGAATATGATACAAAAGATTCTAAAAGGTTTAGTACAAGGTTAAAGGTTTCTTATATAAGTAAAATGCTTTAAGGACTTAGTAGTTATAGTATATTTTTATCAGCATCAGCTGGAGTCATTAGTAGGCAGAAATAGATGAGTGGATATAGAAACTAGAGTGGTTAAATAAGGAACCTACAGGCAGGTTTCAGATATGGCAACTAGTATAAAATCTTCAAGCAAATTACTTAAATTAGATATGACTAAAGTTGTATGAGTGATTAGTTATACACTCTTTTTATAGTTGCCCTCTGTAGTTGTAATGCAACTATTAGTCAAATATACTACCAATAAAATTCTGGATCATAAGTACTTATCTTAATATTTAAAAAAAAAAAGTAAATTTATTATATTTGGCATAGAAACTTTATGATGGATATAGCAAGACTGACAAAGATAAGTTAATGAAAATTTGATCAAACTATATTTATAAACTTTAAAAGGAATGGTTTTAATTTTAATTAATGAAATATTAGCAACTAGTTCAATCAAGATGGCTTTATAAGTTAGTATATATTAAGCAATATTTAAAATAAAAAATATTTATATGCAATTTATAGATTAGTTTTTGTTTTGTCTTAAAGCCAATAATAATACATTTAAAACATATATTAAAAAATGTAAACTTTTTAAAAATTGGTTTTATGACCCAGTTCTGAATATTCAGATTAAATTTTTCATTTATTTTGGACTAAATTTTTACTACCTAATATTTAAATTTCTTATAAAATATGATTTGGAGTTAATAGAGCTTTCTTCTAACTGAAAAGCACATCAAATATCTGATTTTGTAACATACTCAACAATAAAATTCAAAACATTATTAAAAATTCATATTCTTTTTTTAATAAAAATTATTATAAAGCACTAATGTTTTGATAATGAACAATTTATAAACTTATTTTGGATCTTGAATATGATACTAAAAAGGCATTGGATTTATATCAAAAGTGGCTAAACTGTTAGTTATATTTGTTTCTAAGTGTATGTCAGTTAGAAGAAAAGTATGAATAAAAATTTGTATAAAGTTTTACTTATATTGTTTTAAGAATAACATGACTATTTGTACCTTTATTATAAGAGTTTTGTTATATAAAGTTTATTAAATTAGACATTGATCATAATGAATTTAACAATTTTGAATTATCAAATATACTAAAAGATTCAATATTTAATTATAAATTTTATGAATTTATTTAAAAAAAAATTTCTAAATTAACTTTTCAAGTTATTGAATTTTGTTAAAATTAAATCTAGTACATTATATTTCACCAATAGCAATTAGAAGACATTTTAATAAGTAGAATATTAAAACTCATTTGAATATAAAAAGTAACCTTTAGCAATCAAAACTATGATTATCAAGTATGGCATTTAAAAAAAATTAGTTGTAAATCTTTAAACTTAATAAAACTTAGAATCAAAAAGCAGCAATAACAAATAAAAGTAACATATATTCAAAATACAGAAAAGGAAAATTTCAATAATAACAAATATAAAAAAAAGCAAACATATTATTTAACAATTTATTTAATTAAAAATTATATATAATTTATTTAATCAAATAATTTGTAAATACTTGAAATGTAAATTTTATTTGTATAATATAAAAAATCTGCAATATAGCAAATTATATAGTTATCTTACATAGTTTTAATTAAATATGCTATATAACATCTTAGTAGAAGGTGTAGTAATAACAAATTATTAATAATGCTATTCTATTATAAATAAAATGCAATATAAATAAGGCTAGTTCTAAATAAAGCTATACTGGTGATTATAAATAATGCAATAAAAAAAAATTTAGTTAAATCATATTATCTTATACAATTCTAGACATATTTGTTAAATTTTTTTTTATTTTATTTATAAATATTATCTTTTTAAATAGAAAATTTTAATAGTCATTATTATTACTAATGCAAAGAAAATTATAAATTTATTACAAATCATATATTGCATTATTTTTAATTATTTTTGACAAAGATTAGATTATATAAGTTGTATATATATATATAAAAATATAAGTTTTATTGTTAATTCTGCATCTTGTGTAATTCTAAAATTGCTTACAAATTAAAAAAAAAACTGTACAACCTCCACCAAATGAGCTCAAATATTGCTTTCTTTTCAAAAAATATATACCACAAGAGCAATAGGTTGGGCCCATCATATTAACTTTTTCACAATCTTATGAATTAGAAAAAAGTAGTTAGCAAACTACATACTTGAAGATTTAGAAAGAGTTAGTTATCCAATTTCATTAAATGAAGTAATCCAAAAAAGAAAAGTAAATTTAATTACCTCTTGTTACTGTTTGACTATTATTAAAGTAAGAACCCATCTCAAAAATAAATAAAAATATTGAAATTTTAGTGTCTACTACATATTTACTAGATACTTCAAAACTATAATTTAGTATTAGAAATAAAAAAAACCTCCTATCTGAATGATAGTTATCAAAAAATATAATTTAATTTTGCAAAAAATATAAAAAATAAATTATTAAAAATTGGTTCAAAGTAATTTGATCAGATGAGTCAAGGTTCTAAATTTTTGGATTAGATAATAAAAAGTACTATTAGAAGCATTATAGAAAACTATTAAATTAGTTTCATATTAAGTCTACTGTAAATTATATTAGCAGATCAATTATAAATTAGAGTTGCTTTACCTTTTATGGTGTTAACAACTATTGTAAAATTGATAGTATATTAAATATAAATCTGTATCTTAAAATACTTCATAAAAATTTAATATGAATAATTAAGGATCATAAATTTTAAGTTAGTAAAGTTGTTTTTCAACAAGATGGAGCATCTTGTTATATAGCAACCTTGATCAAACATTAGTTTATAAGTAAGAAGGTGAAGTTTTTTAACTGGTTTTCTTAATCAGCTAATTTAAACTTAATTAAACAGACCTGCGGGTCGATAGCGAAGTGGTTATGCTCCCAGATTGCCAATCGCAAGGTTGCCAGTTCAAGTCCAACAGGGGACGAAAAACTGAGTTAGGACTATGATTGTTGATTAACCATAGCAGGTGATGCTCTATGAAAATAGGAAGATCTTCAGTACCCAGATCCTTAAATGGTGATGGACCTAACATAAGAAGGCTGCGATGATTAGGGGGCTAAGGATAATAATAAAACAAAGGAATCCCCGATTAGGAATAATTCTGGTGAAATTCCAGGGTAATAGGAACACAAAATTAGTATATAAATAGTACTATAGAAATGTATATAAATAAAAATGTAAAATGTAGGTGGGGTCCTGATAGAAGGTCCGTGAACTTGAAAATTGAACTAATAAAATAGCGCCAACTGCGGCCCACTAGTGACCAGGCAGTGGAAATTCAAAAAAAAAAAATTTACTGTGTGAATTATATGACAAATGAAATGATCTACATGTAGCTATTACCAGTGATAGGGATATAACTAAAAATCAATATAAAAATAGGATAAAACTCAAGTAAAATTAATTTAGAAAATCTAGTCTACCAAAAAATGGGATATAACTCAGGTACGACTGTAAATTGGTACATATAATCTGAGTAATAGGTAAATCAGTACTGTATCAAATTAAAAATTGTACTGTACTGTAGTATAAATAATAGATAATTAATCAGTACATATGATGTGGTGCCGGTACGTCAGTACTGATTTTGTATTACAATATGATGATCATTACTATATCAATTAAATATTACGGTATTTTGTAATTCTTCACTTTTTCACTTTTGTATGTCTTTATTTGCTAAAAATGGAAGAGGTAATTACCTGTTTTATTTTTTTGTTTTTTGTTAAAAAGTATATGTGTACTGTATATAATGATATCTTTACAATAATTATACTATATTAGAATACTTCTGGTTTAACTGTTGCAGTATTTGGACAAAAAATTACTGTGCAGGAAATTGAATATCAATTAGAGTTTCAAGAATATCCACGAACATTTAATACTGGCGTTGCAACTGTATATAATATCTCTACATTTGAAGATGAAAATCAACAAATAGCAACAAAAGTTCAAGATGCTTTTGCTTTAAAAAATATTCAATATGCTTATGGAGATCTGGGAAATATCAAAAAATCAATTAAATGTCCATTTTTAGGTGTTAAAACTAGACATGAATATCATACATGTCAAGGCATTAAAGTTTGTGAATGTGCATCATCTGATCTTGAAGTTTCACATACAAGTGTAGACTTTGAAAGTAAACTTTACAAAAAAATATTTGATTCGCATGAATTTTCACATGACAATGCAGCTTTAAGGTATTATATATTATTTAGATTTAATTAAATTTTTAATAATTTATAATATTAATATATTTTATTATAATTAGTACATTTATTACTGCATTTAAAACACCTTGTCGTGCAATTAATCCAGTTACTAATGAACAATGCGATGGTTTACCAATATTAAAAGAATATTCATATGTAAGTTATATATTTTTAATTATAATTAAAATCAAATTTTTATTAATTTACTTTTTTTAAATACTACTAGGTTCAGGGAAAAAGTTCAATAAGAATATTTATAGGATGCAATAAATGGCAATCTACTCAATGCAATCATCATTATATAACTATAAATTCACGTGTAAATAGACAATATTTGGAAAAATTATTTTGTGAATATAATTATATTGATTCACAATCAATAATAACTGATCCAATAAAAGATTGTTATTATGTACAGCCAATTAGTGGAAAAACAAGTTTATGCCGTAAGTAAATTTTAATAGTTTTTTTTTTTTTTAATATTAATGGTGAGGCCATGCCTCTATCTTTATTGAATATTTAATTGAGATTTTACATGGAGTACA